GCCGCTGCTATACCTCATCTCGTGTCCATGCTGATTGCACCTGAGGGAGACCCGAATGCACCAGACATCCCGACCCCGCGCTCTTACACTGAGGCGATCGCGGGTGAGTACTCCTCTTAGTGGCAGTCAACCATGGACGCAGAGATGGCTTCCTTGAAGTCCACAGGCACCTACGTCGACGAGGTTCCCCCACCTGGGGCGAACATCGTCAGTGGCATGTGGATTTTCAGGGTGAAGCGGCCGCCGGGTTCTCCACCTGTCTTCAAGGCGCGTTACATGGCTCAAGGCTTCAGTCAGCGAGAGGGAGTTGACTTCTTCCAGACCTTCTCCCCCACCCCGAAGATGACCACTCTTCGGGTACTACTGCACGTTGCCGCTCAGCGTGACTATCAGCTTCAGTCTCTTGACTTCAGCACAGCTTTCTTGCAGGGCACCCTGCACGAGGAGATCTGGCTGCGCCGCCCTCCTGGCTTCACTGGGTCGTTCCCTCCTGGTACCCTGTGGAGCCTCCGGCGGCCAGTCTACGGTCTCCGCCAGGCGCCACATGAGTGGCACGACACACTGAGGACTACACTTGCGGCTGTTGGGTTCGCGCCTTCTACTGCTGACCCGCCGCTGTATCTGCGCACCGACACTTCGCTGACGCTGTTCTACATCCTCGCGTACGCCGACGACTTGGTCTTTGCCACTGCTGACACTGAGGCTCTCGCCATGGTGAAGTCGGAGCTGCAGAAGAGATACACGTGCACAGACCTGGGTGAACTGCGCAGCTACCTTAGCTTGCAGATCACCCGGGACAGAGCACGCTGCACCATCACACTGACTCAGTCACACATGTTGCAGCAGGTCCTTCAGCGCTTCGGCTTCACCTGGTCCTCGGCACAGGCCACTCCTCTGGCTACAAGTCACTCGCTCTCAGCTCCACCTTCGGACGAGTCCGCAGAGCCGAATGGTCCTTACCCAGAGCTAGTTGGCTGTCTCATGCACGTGATGACTTGCACTCGTCCTGACCTGGCGTACCCTCTTGGCCTTCTGGCTCGCTACTTGGCTCCTGGTCGGCACCGAAAGGTGCACATGGATGCTGCTAAGAGAGTACTGCGTTACTTGTGCAGTACATCAGGCATGGGACTTGTGCTTGGAGGGAGGAGCTCAGTTGTCCTCACTGGGCACTCAGACGCTTCTTGGGTTGACGCTTCTTGGGTTGACAACCAGGCTACTCGGCGGTTGTCACAGGGTTACACCTTCAGCCTTGGCTCTGGTTCAGTTTCTTGGTGTTCTACACGCTCGTCTTCAGTTCTCAGCTCTAGTTGTGAGGCTGAGATCTACGCCAAACCCATGGCTGCATAGGAGTTACGCTGGCTCACCTACCTGCTGACTGACTTGGGAGAGCGGCCTCGTTCTCCTCCAGTCCTATACGTCGACAACAAGGCTACCATTGCCTTGTGTGAGGAGCACAGACTGGAGCATAGAACGAAGCACATCGCTCTACGTTACTTCCTGGCTCGAGAGTTGCAGCAGAGTGGTCAGCTTCGTCTGCGTTACATGGCCACTCGGTCCAACACTGCTGATATATTCACCAAGGCACTTCAGTCTGGTGATCATCAGCGTTTCTGCACTATGCTAGGGCTTGTGCCCACTTTTCCTCACTTTCTGTAGGCTTTGCTTGTACTGTGATCCATATATATATACGTGCATGCTTTCTTTGCTAGGTAGAGATTACTGTGATGTTTATGTTGCATATATGCCTCTGCATGTGAACTGGCCTTGTGGCCCTTTGCTTGTACTCAGTGTGTGTGGTGACATTGTGATCCACCCTGAGCTTGCTTTGCCTTTCTTGACTGGTCTTGTGACCCCTTGCTCTCCCCCACTTTGCCTATGGGGGTGTGTGAAATGTCATATCTGCAGCAGTTTGTTTAGGCTGTAGTGGGGTAGTTACTATGGGGTACAGTAAGTTTAGGGATTCCTACTTGTACCCAACTCTTTCCTCGTTCAATCACTCTTGTTGATTCTAACACGCGGTTGCGGGTGTCACTAATGAGGTCAGCGACTGTGGCAAAAGCAGCTAGGTCAGGGAACAGGTACGGCAGCATGAGGCGGCTAAGGGTAGCAGTGGCAGGGGAGGAGTAGCGCGCAACAACAGCGTCGTACAAAGTCCTAGCGGTCTTGTACTGGCTAAAGTGCGCGCGCTCAGCAAACGGCGGGTGACTACGAATAGCAAGACGGGCAGCAGCATCGCGCGTGGTCCACTTCGAGCGAACAGCACTGTCAGCATCGGCAGCAGGTGCAACAGAGACGCCGGACGTGTGATCGAACAGTGAGACTCCATCCCTAGAATCCCACTGCAGAAACAGCTGCATATCATTGACCCAGACCTCGAAGTCAACCGCTCGACCCTCAGCATCGAAGGTAAGGACATTAGGGCTAGCCATGACAGTAGGTGTGAGGATCTAGGATTGAGCTCAAAAAAGAGAATTGTAATTGAATTGAATTGAATGATCACCTGGGTAAAACACGAGGCTATATATAGGCTCAACACTAGGCCTCGTAACCAGGTGTTACGCGAAGGTTCCGCGGGCCGCGAAGCGTCCCGAACAGATCCTTCCCGAATTCGGTAGAAGGCGATTTGGTGGCAACCGAGAAGCCAGCATTCTGTGCACGCAACCTAGCTTGGTGCTATAACTATAATAAAATATAGGAAAGCACCTAGCCTAGGAAATCAATCAATTCATGCATGCATATAATTATCCTATGCTAGAAATAGCATGATAAAGTAAAGGCAAGCAAGCATAGCTGGCATAAGCCGTCGTACTCTCACACGTCCCCCCCTCAAAGCTGGGTGGCGTGAGATACACCCTGCTTGACAAGATAGTCTTTGAGAGCACGGCGTGTGTTGCCCATATCAGCTTCTGCAACCCAACTGTCCTCAATGGGGTCGTATCCCGTCCAGCGGATCAGGAACTCGAGGGTCTTGCTGCCGTGGCGCGTATGAGTGAGAACACACTCCACTTCGTACTCGGGTTCATCCTGTATCAGAACAGATGGTGGTGGCGGTAGCTGCCGTCCCTGGAACTGCTGGTTGGGGTCCTTGTAGGGCTTCAGTAGCTGGACATGGAAAGCGTTGTGAAGCTTCCATGTATCTGGTAAGCGCAAGCAGAACGTTACTGGTGTCACCTCACCCTCGACGAGAATAGGACCACAGAAGCGAGGCCGGAGTTTGGACGGGAGGTGAGACAGGTTCAAGTTGCGCGTGTCAAGAAGCACTTGATCTCCGAGTGCTACTGAGTGATCTCGTCGCTGACGATCGGCATACTGCTTCTGGGAGGTCTGCATCGTGGTGAGTCATCGTTGAGTCTTCTCCCATAGCTGCTGCATGGTGGTGACGAAGTCATGTGCGGCTTGGACGTGTGCCGGTGTGGTTGGCTGTTGCAGTGTACGTGGTTCCCGTCCGTAACACAGGAAGAAGGGAGTTTTCCCTGTGGCCGCATGTGATGCGTTGTTGTAAGCAAAATCTAGGGTCGGTAACTGTGTGTCCCAGTGGCTGACGTCGTCTTTGCAAGCTGTGCGCAGTAATTGTTCATGGATGGGGTAGTTCAGTTCTGCTCCGTGTAGCTTCTTATTGAGGTAGGCGATGGGCTGCAAACCGCGTCCGTGATCCTGCATCAATACTGCTCTGACTGCCTGGTCACTAGCGTCTGCTTCCACCACGTAGTCCTTGTCTGGATCTGGTAGGATGAGTACTGGTACTGTAGTCAGTGCGGTCTGTAGCTGCTCCATGGCTTGTTGATGAGGAGTATCCCATTTGTAGGGCGTATCCATTTTTAGTAGGTCGGTCAGTGGCACTGCTATCTTAGCATACTGCGGCACAAACATGTTGTTGTAGTTGGTGAAGCCTAGGAGCTGCTGCAACTCCTTCACGTTCTCCGGTACTTTCCACTTCTTAACGGCTTCGATTTTCCGCGGGTCCACGTGTACGCCCTCGGCACTCACCATGTGCCCGAGAAACTGCACCTTCTTCAGGGCGAAGTCGCTCTTTGACAGCTTCACGTAGAACTTGTTCTTCCGCAGGATCTCGAAGACCTTCCGTTGATGCTCCACGTGCTCCTTCATGTTCTTGAAGTAGATAAGAATGTCGTCCAGGTACACCACTACCCACTTGTCCAGCAGGGGTCGTAAGATGTGATTCATCTCCGCCTGAAACGTTGCTGGTGCGTTGCAGAGCCCAAACGGCATCACCATGTATTTGTAGGAGCCGTATCTGGTACGGAACGCCGTCTTGTGGACCGAGTTGTTTGCCATCTTGATCTGCCAGTAACCTGATCGTAGGTCCAGCTTCAAGAATACTGTTGCTCCACGCAGTTGATCGAGTAGGTCGTCTATGCGCGGTATGGGGTATTTGTTTTTAACTGTCTGTTTGTTCAGTGCGCAGTAGTCGATGCACATCCGTAAACTGCCGTCTGGCTTTGGAGTGAAGAGGACTGGTGCACCGTAGGGAGAGTTGGATGGGCATATCAGTTGTCTGTCCGGTAGATATTCTATCTATTTCTTCATGTCTGTCAGTTCAGTCAGACTCAGTCGGTACGGTGCACGTGAGACGGGTTTCGCACCTGGTTCCTCCACGATCTCGTGCTCGTGGGTGCGTGCTGGAGGTACACCTGCGGGTAGGTCGTCGGGCAATATATCCTTGTACTGCTCCAAGACCTCCTTCACTGCTGCAGGTAGCTCCGAATTCGGCTTCTCCTCCTCTGCTACTGCCATAACCAGTGCTAAGTAGCCTGTGTTACTCTCGTTCACCGTCCGTTCGAACCGCGTCAGTGTCGTTTTAGGAACGCCCCCTGTATCCGTCCAACTTCGCAGATCCACTCGTTTCCCGTTGTTGTCAGAACATATAGCTTGTGCATACTGTGTTGGCTATAGTGGGGTAGCCCATAAGGGGTACAACCCAATTAGGGTTAGTACTTGTACTCAGTTCATTCATAGTTTATTCATTCTCGTTTCTTCTCATGGTTTCAGAGCAGGTTCCCTTGTGGGAACGCTACCTAGGGCCCACCACGATTTATTTTTCCTGCCCGGAGCGCGCCTCGGACTAGACCGAGTCGCGTGCGCCCCGTGTGCCCTCCCTATCGTTGCGCCGCCCCTTATGGCCCCACGCGCCGCCCTAGCGGCCCCCTCCTTGCGCTGCCTGTCAACCCCGCGCGCCGCCCTAGCGGCCCCTGCGCTACCCGTCGACCCCGGCGCTGCCCTAGCGGCCCCCTGCGCCGCCCGTCGACCCCGCGCGCCGCCCTAGCGGCGCCCTGCGCCGCCCGTCGACCCCGCGCGCCACCCTAGCGCCCGCCTGCGTCGCCCGCCGACCCCGCGCACCGCCCGTCGACCCCCTGCACCGCCCGTCGACCCCGCGCGCCGCCCGTCGACCCCCTGCGCCGCCCTAGCGGCCCCCTGCGCCGCCCGTCGACCCTGCGCACCGCCCGTCGACCCCCTGCGCCGCCCGTCGACCCCGCGCGCCGCCCGTCGACCCCGCACGCCGCCCGTCGACCCCGCGCGCCGCTCGTCGACCCTGTGCGCCGCCCTAGCGGCCCCCTGCACCGCCCGTCGACCCCGCGTGCCGCCCTTGCGGCCTCGCCGACCTAACCTGCGGTCCCACCGCCCTCATCTGCGGCCTTGCCGCCCTCACCTGCGGTCCCTGCCGCCCTCTCCTGCGGCCTCGCCGCCCTTACCTGCGGCCCAGCCGCCTTCCCGGCGGCTCCGTCACCTGCTGCAGCGCCGCCCGCTACCTGAGCCGCCCGGGCCGCCTCACCTCGCCGAGCAGCACGGCCGAGCCGCCCACCAGCTGAGCAGCCGAGCAACCGAGCCGCCCAGCACCCGAGCAGCCGAGCCGCCCTGCAGCCGGGCCGCCCAGCAACAGAGCAGCCGAGCCGCCCTCCAGCCGAGCCGCCCTCTAGCCGAGCCGCCCTGCAGCCGAGCCGCCCAGCAGCCGAGCCGACCTGCAGCCGATCCGCGCGGCAGCCGAGCCGCCCGAGCAGCCGAGCCGCCCAGCAGCCGAGCCGCCGAGCCGACGAGCCGCCGTGCCGCCAAGACTCCGAGCCACCGAGCCGCCCTACCGCCGAGCCGCCCGAGCAGCCCCGTCCGGTGAGCACAGCGCCTCTGTCACTGCACTGCCCTTTCCCTACTATTTGCGCTGCTAGTCTACTGTTGTCATGGCTACCCCTAGTGTCCTCGCTTTTGACGCTGAGGGTCAAGCCATTGACTTTGACGTCTGGGTAGATGACCTACAGCTGTTCTTACAGTGCGATAGGGCAGACGGTCTCTCTCTCTTTGATCTCACCTCTGGCGCCTCTCCTGCCCCTGCTGCTGATGCTGACGCCACTGTTCGCTCCCAGTAGGCCACGCACGACGCTGCTGCATGTCTTGCTGTGCGTCGCCACCTCCCTACCTCCGAGAGTGCGCACTTTAGTCAGTACAAGAGTGCTCAGACCTTGTACGACGCTGTAGTTGCGCGCTACTCCTCCCCTGCCACTGCTGCACTGAGCCGTCTCATGCTACCGTACCTCTTCCCTGACCTTGCTGCCTTTCCCACAGTCGCTGACCTCATTACGCACCTTCGCACTAGTGATACTCGCTACCGCACTGCGCTTCCTGCTGACTTCTGTGCCAAGAACCCCCCCCCCATGTACATCACTCTCTACTACATAGTCACTCGCCTCCCTTACTCACTTCGCGTAGTCAGTGACCACTTTCTCTCAGTCTGTCCCACCACTCTCACTGTTGACCTCCTCGAGAAGTCCCTCCTAGTGGCCAAGAAGAGCATAGTCGATGTAGGGGCCTCTCGTGGTGACCCGCGCACCCCCATCTTTGAGGGGTGTTCCCCCTCCCCCCTTCTGCCCTCTGTTGCCTCTGCTGCTACGGCCGACCTCCTTGGGCTTGAGTCAATCGGTGCGGCGTCTGCCCCTAGCGGGCGACGCCGCTCTGGTAAGGGCAAGGGGGGCAGGGGCACTGGAGGAGCGAGCGGGGGCGGTGGAGGTGGAGGTGGAGGCGGCAGGGGGAGTGGGGTTGGCGGTGGGAGTGGAGGTGGGGGTGGAGGTGTCGGTGGCGGCAGTGGAGGTAGAGGCAGCGGCGGCGGTGGCAGTGGGAGCGGAGGTAGCGGAGGTGGTGGCAGTGGAGGAGGCGGCGGAGGCGGCGGTAGTAGCGGAGGCGGCAGAGGCAGTGGAGGCGGCGGGGGTGGCGGTGGAGCTGGTCGCGGGTCTACACAGAGGAGTGGCTCCGGTGGTGGTCAGCGCGAGCAGCAGCAGCGCGGTCGTGAGACCCTGTCCCCTCAGCAGCTCCGTGAGTGGTACACTGCACGCCAGCGGGGTGGGGGTTTTGGTCCGTGCACCTACGTCCTACGCACCGGCGACCGTGCAGGAGCAGTGTGGGGGTGCGCACCCCACCCAGCGCGACTTTGGCCGCCTGACGGACGCGTGGCGTCGCCAGTTCCCGGAGGCCACAGAGATCCCTCGCTGGGGCGAGCTGTCTAGGGCGGGAGTTGCTATCTATGATCTTGATTTTGATGCTATTCTCTCTGCCATGTATGCTGTGTCTATTAGTGATGAGGGTGGCTGTTACCGGTGTTTCCCGTCCGATCCGGGCATTTAGACTGCTGCTCGAGGTACTGGTGAGGCTGCTGCCCTGGGTGCTTGCGACGCTGCTGCTCTAGGTGCTAGTACGTCTGCGTCCTCAGGTCCTGGTGAGTCTGCGCTCTCAGGTACTACGTCGGCTTCGGCCTCCCTCACCTTCACCCTTGACTCTGGGGCCTCTCGCTCCTTCTTTCGCGACCGCACCACACTCACGCCGCTTAGTCAGCCGGTTGCGGTGTCTCTGGCTGACCCCTCTGGGGGTCCTGTCCTGTCTCACTTCTCCACAATCCTCCCGTGTCCGGCGGCTCCCTCTGGCACCCTGTCTAGTCTCTACCTCCCCTCTTTCTCTACGAACTTGGTGAGTGGTGCTGACCTACAGGATGGGGGAGTCTACCTGTTCACTCCTGCGCGTCAGCGGGTGACGCACTGCACAGAGGCTAGCACAGGCCGACACCTGGCTACGTTTACCCGTCAGCCGGGGTCGAGCCAATACACACTAACCACTCCGTCTCCTCCAGTTGCTGAGTCTGGTAGGGTAGCTGTGTCGGGTCAGGTGTTTGCTGCTGCGTCCAGGTCTGGTCCTGAGTCTGCCCCCTGTTCGTGTCGTCTCGTGTCTCACGAGACCCTCCTCTTGCACCACCGCCTTGGTCACCCCTCTCTGCTTCGGCTCAGAGGCATGGTCTCCCGTCTTCTTGTCTCTGGTCTCCCCCGGTCCCTCCCTCCCCTTCCTCAGGGCCCTGGCCCTACCTGTGTCCCTTGTGTCGAGGGGCGCCAGCGGGCTGCCCCTCACTCCTCCCAGTTTCCTCCGACAGAGGCCCCGCTGCAGACGCTTCACATGGACGTGTGGGGCCCAGCCCGCGTCCGTGGACAGGGTCACGAGCGCTACTTCCTGCTCGTTGTTGACGACTACTCGCGATACACCGCGGTCTTCCCCTTGCGCAGCAAGGGTGATGTCACTGAGGTGCTGATCGACAGGATCCGCGCAGCTCGTCTCCAGCTCAGGCAGAGCTTTGGCTCGGACTTTCCTGTTCTGCGTCTGCACTCGGACAGAGGCGGAGAGTTTTCTTCTGCCCTTCTGAGCGCCTACTTTCGCGCACGAGGCCTCCATCAGACCTTAACGCTTCCGGACTCCCCGCAGCAAAATGGGATTGCTGAGCGCCGCATTGGCATGGTCATGGACGTCGCTCGTACGTCTATGGTGCATGCGGCTGCTCCCCATTTTCTGTGGCCGTTTGCGGTGAGGTACGCGGCGCATCAGATCAACCTACACCCCAGGGTCTCCAGGCCGGAGACCTCCCCAGCCTTGCTGTGGACGGGGAAGGTTGGCGATGCGTCGGCGTTCCGGGTCTGGGTATATCGTGCGTTTGTCCGCGACTTGTTTGCAAACAAGCTGTCCCTTCGTGCTTCTCCTTGCGTCTTCTTGGGGATCCCCCCCGACGCGCCTGGGTGGAAGTTCTACCACCCCACCTCTCGCCGTGTTCTGTCCTCCCAGGACGTCACGTTTGACGAGTCGGTCCCCTACTACCGCCTCTTCCCCTACCGCTCTCCGTCCCTCCCCCCCCCCCCCCCCCCCCCCGCTCTTCCTTGTACCAGGTCCCCCCCCGGTAGACCACCTCTCCCCTCAGGGTCCTGCTCCTTCAGGTGTGTCCCAGGCTGACGCAGTCGAGCCCGTTGAGGTTACTGGTGACTCTGGTGCTGCTGGAGGTGCTGAGCCTGGGGGTGCTGACTCTGGGGGTGCTGACTTTGGGGGTGCTGAGCCTGGGGGTGCTGCGACTGGGGGTGCTGAGCCTGGGGGTGCTGAGCCTGGGGGTGCTGTGCTTGGGGGTGCTAAGCCTGGGGGTGCTGAGCCTGGGGGTGCTGAGCCTGGTGGTGCTGAGCCTGGGGGTGCTTAGCTTGGGGGTGCTGAGCCTGGGGGTGCTGAGCCTGGGGGTGCTGAGCCTGGGGGTGCTGAGCCTGGGGGTGCTTTGCCTGGGTGTGCTGAGCCTGGGGGTGCTGAGCTTGGAGGTGCTCCGCCTGGAGGTTCTCCGGGTGCTTCGTCTCTGCGGGAGCCACTCTCTCCACAGGAGCTGCGCGAGTGGTTTGCCCGGCGCTGGAGGCGTGCTGCTGGTGCTGGAGGTTCTACAGCTACTGAGGGTGCTGCTGTCGCGGGTCCCGGAGGTGCTCGTACTGCGAGTACTGGAGCTGCTGGGCCTGCGGGTTCGACTGGAGCTGGTGCTGCTCAGGGTGTTGGCACAGAGACTACTTCTGGTAGTCCTACTGGGGGTACTACTGGTGCTGCTGGAGGTTCTGGAGGTGCTGAAGGTACTGCTGGAGCGAGTGCTCCTGCTGGGAGTACTGGTGCTGTCCCTGTTGTGTCTGGCGTCGCCGCGCGGCCTCGACCGTACTTCGTTCCCCTCCTGCAGCAGGTTCTTGGTCTTCCGCCTTCTACTGGTCCTCCTCCTTTAGAGTGTCTACAGCCTGTCCCGTCGCAGTTACAGTTGCAGCCTACCTCCCCTTTGCCTGCTCCTTCTCCCTACTCTGGTCCTACTGGAGGTCTTGCTGAGCGTCGTGAGCCTGCATCTTGCCCAGCGTCACCGGTTCGTGCTGCTAGCACTAGTGGTCGCGGTTCGCGTCCGCGTCCTCCGCCTGTACCTGGCACGCACCGGATGTCACTGCGTCCGTCCACTGCTCCTCTGTGTGCCCCTTTGCCTTCTCCTCCTGAGTCCTCTCTTCCTGCTCTTTCCGACCCGGAGTCGGACTCTCTTCGTGCTGCCAGTCCTACTATCACGCGTCTTCTTGCTACTGTTGTCACTGACCCTTCTTTCGAGTCCACTGCTGCGTCTGCCCTTGTTACTGAGCTTGTCGACTTTGCTCCTCGCTGTCGCCTAGACTACGCTGCTAGTCTTGTCGCTTAGTCTGAGTCTGTCTGTCCTCCGTCCGTCGGGGGTGAGTGTGCCCTTGGCACGGACGTCCTTGAGGACAGGCAGGAGGAGTTCCAGTGTCTGGCAGCTGCTTCACCTCATCTCGTGTCCGTATTGCTTACCCGTGAGGGAGACCCGGATGCACTTGACATCCCGACTCCGCGCTCTTACGCGGAGGCGATAGAGGGTCCCTAATCTTCTCAGTGGCAGGCAGCTATGGATGCAGAGATGGCTTCCTGGAAGTCCACAGGCACCTACGTTGACGCTGTCCCCCCTCCTGGGGCGAACATCGTCAGTGGCATGTGGATTTTCAGGGTGAAGCGGCCGCCGGGTTCTCCGCCTATCTTCAAGGCACGCTACGTGGCTCGTGGCTTCAGTCAGCGGCAGGGAAGATGGCCACTCTTCGGGTACTGCTGCACGTAGCTGCTCACCGTGACTACGAGCTACACTCTCTTGACTTCAGCACTACTTTCGAGCAGGGCAGCCTACACGAGGAGATCTGGCTGCGCCGCCCACTTGGCTTCACTGGGCCTTTTCCTCCTGGCACCCAGTGGAGCCTCCGGCGGCCAGTCTACGGTCTCCGCCAGGCACCGCATGAGTGGCACGACACACTGAGGACTACACTTGCGGCTCTTGGGTTTGCTCCTTCTACTGCCGACCCGTCGCTGTTTCTACACACCGACACTTCTCTGCCGCCGTTCTACATCCTCGTGTACGTCGACGACTTGGTCTTTGCCACAGCTGACACTGCTGGACTCGCCTACGTGAAGTCCGAGCTGCAGAAGAGACACACGTGCACAGACCTGGTTGAACTGCGCAGCTACCTTGGCTTGCAGATCACCCGGGACAGAGCACGTCGCACCATTACCCTGACTCAGTCACACATGGTGCAGCAGGTCCTTCAGCGCTTTGGCTTCACGTACTCCTCGCCTCAGGCCACTCCTTTGCCTACTCGCCATTCGCTCTCAGCTCTGCCTTCGGATGAGTCCGTAGAGTCGAGTGGCCCGTACCCAGAGCTTGTTAGCTGCCTCATGTACCTGATGACCTGCACACGACCTGACCTTGCATACCCTCTTAGCATTCTTGCACGCTATGTTGCTCCTGGGAGACACCGACCAGAGCACATGGCTGCAACGAAGAGGGTGTTGCGCTACTTGTGCAGTACGTCGGGCATGGGGCTTGTGCTTGGAGGGCGGAGTCCAGTGGTCCTCACTGGGCACACGGATGCTTCTTGGGCTGACGACCAGGCTACGCAGCGGTCGTCACTGGGTTACACCTTCAGCCTTGGTTCCGGCTCTGTTTCGTGGCGGGCTACTCGCTCGTCTTCTGTTCTCGGCTCCAGTTGTGAGGCTGAGATCTACGCCGGGGCCATGGCTGCACAGGAGCTTCGCTGGCTCACCTACCTGCTGACAGACCTTGGAGAGTCGCCTCGTTCTCCTCAAGTCCTGTACGTAGACAACAAGGCCATGCTGGCCTTGTGTCGAGAGCAGAGACTAGAGCACGCCTTCCTGTTGACCCAGTCGATCTCGGGGTTGAACTGCTTCAAGAAATCTCACCCCAAGATGAAATCTGATCCCTTGATGTTCGTGATCGGCAACGTCGGCTTCCACCTCAGCGCCCCTATGTGCAGCTGCTTTGATGCTTCGCCGAGGATGGGAAGTTTCGTACCGTCCACCATCGTTGCCGAGAACTTGGTCTTCTCGGAAGGTTCCCCAATTTTCTCCAACGTCCCATGGTCGCACAACGAGTGAGACGCGCCGCTGTCCACCGGTGCCTGGAGGCGTCACCCGTTGCAGATCACTTCGAGTAATAGTGGTTGTTGCTGCTCCGAGTAATCGTAGATGGTCTCTTATATTTCATCGTAGGGTACGTCGAATAGATCATCCCTCGGTCCTTCGCTCGAAGCTGTTGACTCCGTATCAGTTTTCAACTGAGTTGGGTTAGAAGGATTTATCCGAGGCCGATTCAGCTTCGTCTTGGCCTGGAACCTTCCCTTAAGCCTTTGCAGCTGTGTAGGCTTCTCCTGTGGGCAATGGGGAGCCTTAACACTATGCTGCGGGGAGAGAATATGAACTCCTTGGAACGCACGACCCTTTTCAACGCTCCGGAGTGGTTTGCCCAACTTCTCAGGTACCTGTATAATGTCTGAAGGCTTTTTCTTGGCCTTGAAATCTCCCCTGAAATTTTTAAAGGCTTGAAAACCACGAGAGGAAATATTCTTACTCTCGGGGGTGTTCGGCTGGAGTTTCCTGGTCGGTGCAGAGTCTTGTTTCGCGGAGCCTCCATTTGTCTCGGCGATTTCCCCTGTTGCCGGCCGGTCGTGGCGTTTTAAATTCGCGCCATCATGTCCTCCTTTTTTCAACATCGTAGATGTGGCACTGTTGTTGCCCTGCAGCTCCGCTCGTGCCTTTTTCATTTTCCAACACGCCAAGAGTCGATGTCCTGCTGCGCCGCAAAATTCGCACTTCTCATATTTTGTCAGCCGCTGCTTCGCGTCAATCTTGTCCATATCCATCGGGTCGGCGGTTGTGGGTGGTGCCGATCGCTTCGTGTCGAATGATCTGTTCGGCACGTGGCATCGTGTCTCGGGTTCACATCGCATCAGCGCATCGAATCTCTCTGCTGCACACGCCATGTCGCGGTAGCTGTCGTAGTTCACGGTAATCACCTGTTGGCGGATTTCCATCTTTAGCCCCTCAGTATACGCTTGGATTTTTTCCCCTTTGGTCAGGTCAGTAATTCGGTTGAAGAGGCTCTCCATCTGCTGCGTGTACTGTGTTACACTGCCGAACTGTTTATGCCGATGAATCTGCTGCCTCGCCATGTAGCTGGAGTTAATTGGTTCGAAACGTTGAATTAAAGCTTCCCGAAACTGCGTCCATGGCCCCTCGCCGCGGATCTTGTCAGAACATATATGTAGCTTATGCTGTTGTGTAGGCTACAGTGGGGTATACCATAGGGGGTACAACCCAATTAGGGTTTTGCTATTTGTAATCACTTCACTCATAGTTCATCCATCCTCGCTCTATTCTCCACATGGTATCGAGCAGGTTCCCCCGTGGGAACTGTGCTTAGGGCCCACCACTTTTAAACTTTTTTTTTTCTGCCCGGAGCGCGCTCCGGGCCCTCGCTCTCACTCTTTCGGCCTGCCCTGCAGGCCCCTAGCCGCCCGCGCGCCGCCTGTCCCGGCCCCTAGCCGCCCGCGCGCCGCCCGTTCAGGCCCCTAGCCGCCCGCGCGCCGCCCGTCCCGGCCCCTAGCCGCTCGCGCGCCGCCCGCGCGCCGCCCGTCCCGGCCCCTAGCCGCTCGCGCGCCGCCTGTTCAGGCCCCTAGCCGCCAGCGCGCCGCCCGTCCCGGCCCTCAGCCGTTCGCGCGCCGCCCGTTCAGGCCCCTAGCCGCCCGCGCGCCGCCCGTCCCGGCCCCTAGCCACCCGCGCGCGCCCGTCCCGGCCCCTAGCCGCCCGCGCTCGCCCGTCCCGGCCTCACACCGCCCGTGCGCCGCCCGTCCCTGCTGCACGTCGCCGTCCTGGCCCCCCACGCCGCCCGTTAGCCGCCGTGCAGCCCGAGCCGCCCGAGCCGTCTGCGCAGCTGAGGAGCCGAGCCGCCCGAGCCGCCTGTGCCGCTGACTGCCCGAGCTGCCCGAGCCGCCTGAGCCGCCCGAGCCGCCCGAGCCGCCTCCCCCCCCCCCCCCCTTTTCCCGTCGCCTGTCGAGGCGACCTGAGAGGCCAGCTGAGGGGTGGCAGGTGTGTGGTCTCCCCTACTTCTCCTCCTCCTTCGTCTCGAGCCGCCCTGCAACCGAGCCGCCTCGCCGCCGAGCCGCTTTACACCCGAGCCTCCCAGCAGCCGAGCCGCCCTGCAGCCGAGCCGCTCTACACCCGAGCCTCCCAGCATCCGAGCCGCCCTACAGCCGCGCCGCCGGGTCGCCGAGCTGCCGAGCTGCAGTTGCTGCCGAGCCGCCCTGCCGCCGAGCCGCCCGAGTCGCCCGAGCCGCAGAGCCGCCGTGCTGCCGAGCCTCTGAGTCGCCGAGCCTACTCTACCCACCACTGGTGAGCCCCTGCCCTACTAGCACGCTGCGCGTCGCCTGCTTGCCTGCCTGCCTCCCTTTTTGGCTTGCCTGGCTGCCTGCCTTACTGTTGCTACTCCTGCTCCTGCCTCTACTGGTGGAGCCAGATGCGGCCCCATCGACGTCTGCGTGAGTCCCTCACGCCCCAGCAGCTGCGTGAGTGGTACGCTGGTTGGGGCTGTAGGGGTGGTGGCGCTACTACTGCTACCACTCCTGCTGCTTCTACTACTGGTGGCGGCCAGATGCAGCTCCCGCGACCCCCCCGCGCGTCTCTCACGCCTCAGCAGCTTCGTGAGTGGTACGCTCAGAGTGGAGGGTCTCTCAGTTCTGTTCGCTGCTCTTACGTGATTCTCACTGGTGCTCGGACTGGTCAGCCTTGTGGGACACCTAGTCATACACAGTCCCGCTGCTTCGCCCGTCTAAGCGACGCCTGGCGTACCGTGTTTGGCGACGAGGCTGAGCTCCCCGACTGGGTGGAGCTGCTTAGGCAGAGGGTAGATATATTTGCTCTTGACTATGATGCTATTCTCACTGCCATGTATGCATTGCCTACTAGTGCTGACCGTGCCGGTCACCTGTGCGTACCGCCTGACCCGAGTATAGGACCTGCTGCTCTAGCTACTGGTGAGGCTGCTGCTGCTCTGGGTGCTAGTGAGTCTCCTGCTCCAGGTACAGGTGCGGCTGCTGCTCTAGGTGCTAGTGAGTCTGCTTCCTCAGGTGCGGGTGAGGCTGCGCTCTCAGGTACCACGTTGGCTTCGGCCTCCCTCACCTTTACACTTGACTCTGGGGCTTCTCGCTCCTTCTTTCGGGACCGCACCACACTCACGCCGCTTGGTCGGCCTGTTGCAGTCTCCCTGGCTGACCCCTCTGGGGGTCCTGTCCTCGCTCACTTTTCCACTGTCCTCCCGTGTCCGGCTGCCCCCTCGGGCACCCT